CTTCCTCACGAGCCGCGTCTTTGATGTAGCTATCTTATTTTAATTTTGTTCACGCTAAAACGAGATAAATACTACATGTCATCATTTAGATGGTCTTTGGCTACATCAGTTAAGACCGCTCCCGGATCAGAAATGCTGATTTTCGTCAAAATATCGATTTTGAGAAAAGAGAGCTAAAAGTGTCTGCTTTCTAATACCTTAATTCTTCTGTCGATAGGATAGCTTTACACGGTTTATGTGCGGGTTTGAGGGTCTACACATGGCAAACGACAACTATCCGCCAATATCCGAATATCTAAATATCTAAGAGGCCTAGGAAATGTGAACCTGCAGAAACTGTAAATATCCAAATATCTGGATGTCTAAATAGCTAAACATCTAAGAAGCCTACAACCACGGCCTACGAGGCGGAAAACCAATTCAGTTCTCTGAAAGCTGGCATAGAAATCGGTGAATGGTTTTACGTGGATATATAGTCCGAAGTATCCTCTACAAAACTAGACAGCGACATCTTAGAAATCCATGGTTCGGGAGCTATGGATGTTTTCCCTGAAGCTTCAGCACTCCTGTGTTGTTGCAGGACAAATTGCTGAAACAGCTGACTGAATGACACATTATTCGATTGAGTTTCTGATGTTAATCGCGAATATGGGCTTGGTTTCGCTTTAAAATACTTTCTTCAAGCCAAAAAATGCAAAATACTGTTCTAAAAATTCAATGATTTCTACGTGATACCTACTGTCGGGGGCACTAGGGGCTTTCAGTGAGCTTAACGTTGCCCACCGAAATTTTTCATCTATTGATAAATCAAGGTTGGAACTACTTATGCACCAAATATTTCCAAAATTCGTCATTTTAAAAGCGCCGTTTTACTCAGAAATGTCTATATTTTCTTTTATGACTGGTTCGAACGAGTTCTGTGAGATACGATTGAGCAGTGTTCTATGTAACGTAGTCGCCGCTTATGTGAAATGGCTCTTCAGCGCCAAAGCTATCCATGGTATCATCAATCGATTGCTTGTAATTTACGTTTCTTAGGCGAAGTGTATCACGGTTACGGTGAAAAGAAATTAGCTTTGAAAAATTGTAGCGAAGCATTAGTCTGTTATAAATATACATTAGCAGATTCAAATCATCCAATAATTCAACAAATGGACAGTGAAACTGCTAAGTTATCAAAGAAAAAACCAAGAGAAAAATTTCTAAAAAGCAATTCTACTACCACTTCCACCACAATCACAACTATCACACAAAAAAATAATGTGTCGCAAGAGTGCGTCGCGGTAGAATGTGTTGCATCAGGTGTAGAAAATATGTGTCGTACTTCAAAGCGTCGCAATTTAATTGGCGCAGTTGCTAGACATTGTCGAAGGCTGTCTTTACGTTAATTGTATAGTTGATGTCGAGGAAATTGCTTTCCCACTGATTTGCACACCTTCCCTCGAAAGTATTGCATCTAAGTCGCAGAGGAAATGTCGCAGTGCCAATGGGAAAAAAGTATCGCAGTGAGCGCCCAATGTTGCGGATTTAAGCATCGCAATGTGCTACCTATGCGATCGATTATTTTTTAGTGTGGGACAACAACAACAACAACGCTTATAATACGATTCAAGTTAACAACGACATCTGCATTTCTTTAGCTACAGAGTAGAGTACACTTGTAAATATTTAAAAGAATAGTAAGAGTGCGTATCTGCCATGAGAAGATCTGATTTTATTCTCATTTCTACTCTGTCGTCAGATATTCTCAATCCACTTGGGAAAAATCAACTTGTCAGTTTTTGTAATCGTTCTACAGTGTCACATCCAAGGTTTTCTCTTGTTTCATCATCAAGAAAGAGAAAAGAAAAGTCAGGTAAAAAAGCAATCAATAATTTTAATGGGAAAATACCTACCTAGTCAGCGTGTACTATTAAATAACCACGTGCTTAGTAATAGTTATTATAAATGATAAGTATGTAACTAATTAAATCAATGTTAGGGCATTCAGCAAAATCGCTCTGGATCAGTCATAAAAGCACTTAGAGCTGCCGAATGTCTCATTTTGTAGAAAAATGTCTGCTTTACCAAGCTGAAGTGCATGTCCAGAACATGTCCAGGACAAGTGGAAGCGAGCCATTCTGAAAGTCTTATAAGGACTCAAAAGATGTCAAAGTATATAGACCCATAGGCCTGTTGAGTGTGTATGGGCAAACTGATAAAAAGAATAATAAAACACCGACTGAATGATCTCGTAGAAAGAAACAGAATATTACCCACATGTTAGTCAGAACTCGGGAAGAGGCGAAACACGGTCGATAATCTTTTAAATTTAACACACGACATACATATGAATATGCATAGCAACAGAGAAATGACCTTGTTAGTATTCGATATTAAATAAGCCTTTGACTGTGTCTGGTTTAACAGTTCCCTCTATAAGCTAAAACAGTATAATATTTCAGCATACATTGAGGTGCGAATGAGCAGTTTTCTAATGTATCGGCAAGCGAGAAAAGAATATAAATGCTCTTTGTCAACACCGTTCACACTTCAATGAGAAACGCTACCAGGATCGCCACTTTCGCCAATTCTCTATATCATCTATACCAGCGACCGTTTGCTATCGATACCAAGTCACACCTAAAGTAATCTCTTCGCTGACGACACAGTGTTATGGTCATCGTCAAACATTCTCGAAAATCTCTCATAAGGCCTACAAGAGTCACTAAACGAATCTGTCGAACGGTGCAAAGGTTTTAAACTAGATCTCGAACCAACAAAAACTAAACTAATACGCTTCACAAATCATCTTCAAAGGAAACGAAGAACAATACTACAAA